CTTCACGAGGTAGGCAAAAAGGTGGTGAAAATGGACAATGGATACTTAGTTGAATGCAAACTTTTTTCTTTTTATCTTTTACATATACAGTGTATCGTGCATTTTGGTTTCATTGGAGAAGGTTTGTTTAGTAGACAAAAAACGGCTGGTTAATTAATAGATAAAGAATTACCAGAATATGGGGTTTGGGACGGTTAGCATAGGAGAAACCATAGGTTCGACCATGTTTGGTTTGACTATTTAATATATAAAAATTATATTTATTTTAACAATATAATTATATTTTTTAAGTTAATTTAGGTTTATAAATTTTTTAACATGCTTTTAAACATTAATCACCTTTTTACTTATTTAATGAAAAGTTGACGATTATTTTTAATGATTACTCCTTTTGATTTTATTTATAAAAAAATTATTATTATTATTATTATTATTATTTTAAATATAAAAAATAAAAAATTCTTTATTAAATTTTATTTACATTTTTATTTATTGCAAGATTTATCATATCAAGATATTTATTTATTATTATACTAGTGAATATATTTATTTATTTAATGTATGAATTATTAATTTAATAATTTATCACTATGAATATTTTTGAAATATAATATAAATTCATGATATATAATTATTATTTATTAATTTTTAATAAATTGGTTATTTATTTTTATAAAAATAGTTATGAGTATTAGATTTAAATATCATAGTAGGATGACTTATTGGATAATTGTCTATTATGTGCCTTGTTAATTCAATTCACATAGATCTTTCTAAGATCCTACTACAAGTTACTTACAAGAACGATATTTAATAGAATCAAATATTTTACTAGCATTTAATACACTATTATTAAGAGAATATTATTTCACTGAAGTCAAATTGTTCATACTACCACAAACCATATCATTATAACTCTCTTCCATATTTTTTTTTTCATATTAGATTCTACACATGCTTAGTAATATCTCGTGCAAATTTTCAAATAAGCATAAACTAATATCAAGTCATTCAAATATCATGTATTATAGTTTCATAGAGACATCGCAATGCAAAAAAAGATACAATATGTTATCATCTTCAATGTCACACAACTCACAAGCTTTTAAGAGAATTATCAATTTACGTTTGGTCAAATTCTTCTGTATCATAACTATATTAAGCAATAGACATTAAACAAATATCACTACTTTTCTTGGCGTACTTACCTTCTAAATTTTGTATAAAGCTTGCATTAAACCTAACTCCAAACTAGTAGCTACAATGAAAAAATGATGAAGACCGTGTGATAAGCATATTACACACTATATTTTTTATTATTATCATACTTTTACATTAACCTGTTATTCATATTTTCTCTCAAACTCTTATATTTAATAGTACTTGTAAAAATAATTTAATGTATGTAATAAATTTACATTATGTAATTTACGTAAAAAAATGGTATGGGCGTGCATAAAAAAACAAATAAAAAGACAGCGATTGGTTTCGTATAATAATGGATATGTATGGAATTTCTTTTCTTGTTGTTTTTCTTTCATATTTTTGGTGTTATTTTTTTCTCGGTCAACATGTTTTTTGTGTTGTTTCAATTAGGTAATGCAATTGATATGCGCTTGACTTAGTTTTTAGGCCCAAAACCTGATCCAATGATATTATCATTTTGTAAAAGCATTTTTTATTTTGAACTTATGAAAGCAAGCAAATTCTAATTCCCAAACAAGGCAAGTTCAAAAGTTATATGAATAGAAAAGTTTAATGTACTGTAGGTTGGCTCCAATAATACGTACACTGAGTCACAGGCCCATCTCATGCCCGTTGTTCGTTGTTATTATTTAAGTTTAGATTTATATTTGACCAAAACAGAAGATTTAGAAGCGGTCTGGAGCCTAAAAAAAAGTGAAATGTGAATATTTTGTTCGGCTTAAATTATCTTTCATTATTAATTTTATATTTTAAAAAATTATTTTATTTTATCTAATTCTACTTTAAAAGTTAAATGAAACTTTCAAACGCGAAAAATATTTTAAAAATTAAGGTATTTCATTAAAAAAATGTAAATAAAAATAATATTATTCTATAAAATAACTTTTTTTACCTTAAGAAAAGATTTATAAAAAGTGCACATGAGAAAAAGATACAAAGAGAATAAAAAAAGAAAAAGAAAAAAAGAAAACGCGTGTCAAGAAGAAAAACAATCCTAAAGAAAAGATAATAATAAGCATATTATCCGCATAAAGAAAACAATAACAAGTGCATGATATATGATATCTCACTTAAGCAAATCCAAAAAAAAAAACACACAACGTATTTATTGTAATTTTTAACAATTTCATTAATAATTTATATTTTTAATTCTGAATAAATATATAAAAAATAATTTTAAAGTAAATGTATCATTTTAAACAAAGTTAAATTGGATGAGCGTTCTTCGTATTTCAAAATTATAATATGTTATAAGTCACAATAATTTAAAATGATAAATATAAATATGAGATTATTTCATTCTCCCCATCTCCTGGGTTCAATTCTTCAGTAGTGGCCTCTCTAGCTGGCTTCTTTATAATCTATCTCAGCACAGTTACCATCAGATCCCTGACTGAAACATCTTATTTGGCACATCTAGAAGAATAGGAATGTTGTTGTTTTCCATAATTCTGTTATCTCTCCTAAAGCCTTCATTCATAAAATAATGTGTTATTTTAATTATATTACTTTGTGCTATTGGAATTCTCAGCCCTTTGGTCTTGGAAACTTTGAAGAACAGAGTTTGGTCAAATGGTGTCCCCCTTCTAGACAGCTGAAGCTCAACGTGGATGAGGTTGTTTCCCAAAAGGCATGGCAGGGCTGGATGTGGAGGATTGATCCTTGTCATGGCAATATTCTAACTAGCTACCATAACAGCCTTCAGAATTGCTCTCTCTTTGTTGCTGAGCTTTAGGAAATCCTGCTAAGGTTGCAACTTGTCATTCAAAATAATATCCACCTCATTTGGGTAGAAACTGATTGTAAGAAGGCTTTATCCCTTGTTTTGAATGGTCATTGTTGCAATTACTCTTTGTTTTCCCTAATTAGGGACTTGCTGAAATGTATCTCTTATATTAGGATTAGCCATATGTTAAGAGAGGCTAGCTAATGTATTGATAGGTTGGCTCAAATAGAAATAGAGGAGAATGCACAATTTTATTGTTTTGTTGTTTTGTTAATATCCTTTTTTCCTTGTATCTATTGAGTTTAGATTCTGTTGAAATCTGGACTCTTAAACCTTTTTTTTGTAAGCTTTTTTATGTTTTTGGGCTTGTTAGCTCCGTTACTTAAAAAAAAAATATAAATTATTTTTAAAAAATTGTTAATGAAATGTCTAAATCTTAAGAATGAAACACTTTTAAATCCGTTCATTTTTTTCTAAATTATAATTTTTCAGGGTAACACAATCCTATTCAAACAACATTTACCATCATTAAACTTTGATATATAAATATAAAAGAAATGATACTTAAATCAACTTCCATTAATTTTTCAATATGCTATACATTTGACACGCACATAATTTAGTTGCAGGGAGTACTCCTGATATATTTGATAAGGTATTTTTAAATAAATTATATAAATCAATAAAAATAATTAAAAATAGTCAATTTTTAAAATATTATGATGTAATAGTTATTTCATAAAATACTATTGGTTTTAATTTAATTTTTAATATTTAATTTTTAATTTTAATTTTAATTATATCAATTTCATTTATTAAAAGCAGATAAAAATATAATAAATATTGCACAAAAATTATAAAATATCTTATAAAAAATATCACTAAAACTTATAAGAGATTCTTTTATAATTTTTTAATATTTGTTGAAAAATAAATAATAATCACAATAAATCTTATTAAGAATATAATATTAAATTTAATAATATTCTATATTTTTAATAAAAGCATTATATATAATTTTTTTATTATGAGCCTGCAAACGGTGCAAAAAAAAAATGAAACGGTGCACCATCTTAGCTTCCAAAAATTGCACCTTGGCCGACATTGTATGTGGACGAGGAGAGGTGCACACAGTGGCATAGCCTCGTGTTCTGCCACTAACATTATTATGATGCCTTTCAACCACAATTTGCAAATGTCCCTATCAACACGCGCGTCGGTGCGGTGCGTCGTGCCGTAATTTCACTTTCCAACAAAACTTTCTCTAATATATTTTTTTAGCACAATATTAATTATTAATTCAAATTTAATATTTTTTATAATTTGTAATAAATTATTTAAAATATATTATATTGAAGAATATGTTACTGAATTTTTTTGTGTTTTTCTCTTTCTTATTATTTATTTATATTTAAATCATTAAAAATATTTTAAATAACCAATTGCATTAAGAATTACTTTATAAAAATATTTATTGTTAAAATTTGCAACATAATAAAAATATACTTAAAATTAATGTTTAATAAAAATTTTCAAAAACTATCTTTCTGCTATCTCTTTTCTGCATAATGTTGGACTATTTTGTTTGATATTCGATAGACAAATTTGAAAGGCTTAGAAAAGGTGAGCATAGAGATTTACTCTAGGAGGTTATCAATGTTTTGATAGCGAAGATGATCAACTCTCTCTTATTATTATGTGTATTTATAATTTAATTAAAGAATATGAATTTGTTAGCTTAGTCCATATTTATCAAAAAGCTAATAACTGAACTGTTGAATGTTTAGCTCCTATGACTTAGGATGTAGATAATATTTGTTGTATTTTAGAGTAAGTTCCATCATTTTAAGGTTTTTGTTGAGATTTTTGAGATTGACTCTCCAAAAGTTAATTTGTAGTAGTTATTGTTTTTTTTCACTCCATTTAATATAAGAAAATAATTTTTTGAATATAAATCTGTCAAATTAAAAGAATAAATATGATAAGAGTACCGACAATTTGCTATTAGGATGGTTCCTTATCGTGGTGTATTTTATTTATTTGTAGCCCACACAGCCTTACCATGATTCGTTACTCGTGGACATCTAAGACATCACTATAGTTCAAAACGTATGATCGGCATCAAGGTATTTTATTTTTTCGCCCAGAAAAAAACATATTCATAATGAGTTTATGATTTCAAACAAAATCCACATTTTAAAATTACTATTATTTCGAAGCACGAATTTATAGCATATTAATCCATTTGATGTCTTATAGTGATAAAATTTAGCTTAAAATGTTATTTTAAATTTTAGTAAGGACTATAAATGATACGATATCTTATCTACCTAACAAGGAGGCAACGATAACTCAATTATAGCCATATCCCATAATTAATGTCTTGATAATGAATTTATGTTGAATCCAACTTCCATAGGTGACTTTAACAAACTAGATAACAGCAGTAGTTGGTCCACATTCGGCGATATTCCATAGAAAAACAAATATAAAACGCGTGAGAAAGAAACAGGTTCATAGAAGGAAAAAGGCACAGCTGTAAGCTAATCAAAGTTTTGAAAAATCTTTGATTTTTGAACTTCACTTCAAAGCATCGAAATTTATCAAATATTATTTTCCTTAATACAACAAATCGCTTCTTATCAATTCTGAGAGTCACTCACATGATATTAAAACCCACGTTGGGAGTAACACAGTTTTTGGTTATGGTTTTTTTCTGGGAAACTCTTCAATTTTTTTCTTTGATCTTTGAAGAGACTCTTTTGGAGTGTTGTCATCAAAGATAACAACTTTGCTGTGTTGGGGGTTTGGAAAACTTGGATTTGGTTTTGGCCGTTTTTTGATATCGTGGCTTGGATTTGTATGTTCTGTGGCGGGGATCTCGGGAGTTTCTGATGGCAGAGAAGGTAGAGAACCATAGGGCTCTTTGGTCTTCAAGCCCAATACTTAACTGGCGTTTTGGGTTGCTCACTCTTCTTGTTCTGGTTGGCATGGTCGTGGTTTGGAGCATTGATGGCTGCACTGTTAGGAACATCATCGAAGCTTGGAGGTATGGTCAAGATTCTTTTTCTCTAAGGTCTCATTCGCCTAATTTTACTCATTCGCTTCATCCCAATATCACTTTTGTCACCCCATATAGTCCAGTTAGTTTCAATCAAAACCAAACCAATGCTACCCAATTTGATCCCCACAATCATGGGAACATCACACTGTCTGAGTACAGTGAACCAGTTTCAGCTAAGAACTATAGTAGTGATGTGGTGTTTGATAAGCTTCACAAAACCCTACTAAAGCCTGAAGTTCAGGAGCATGCAACTTGGCTTTCAAGTGAATTAGAGCCCAACTTGACTTCTAATCTTCTTGCAAGATGGTTAGCTCCTGGGGGAGAACCTTGTAAAGATTCTAAGACACTGGGAATTTCAATTCCTGGTTTGGATGGTGGGCAATTGATAGAGCTATCAGCTGGTGATGTGCATGAATTTGGTTTTCAAGCATTGGATGAATCAGGGAAACCTCGCTGTTTGGGAGGGGATTACTTTGAGACTGATCTTTCAGGGGAATCATGGAAATCTAGGCCTTTGGTGAAAGATTTCAGTAATGGTTCTTACTCCATTTCCCTTCAAGTTCATCCAGATTTTGAGGGGCTTTACAATCTCACTATAATTCTGCTTTATAGACACTATGAAGGCCTGAAATTCACCCCGTGGCGATTTGTCCATGATCAAGTGCTTTGCAATGTTGCTATCAGATTCTACAAAAGCAGTGCTCAGTTACAAGAATTAACGACCTGTAAAGCTTCTGATTTTGGCAAGGATGTTTGGAGTGGAAGGTGGACAAGGCATGGCAAGAACGATGAGTGTCAAATAGGTAATGATGGTAGGTATAGATGCTTAGCACCGGATTTTCCCTGTAAAGCTCCATGGTGTGATGGTTCCTTGGGAATTCTAGAGAGTAATGGTTGGGTTTACTCAACACACTGCTCATTCAAGATGTATTCTGCTGAGTCTGCTTGGAAGTGCTTGAAGAATCGGTGGATTTTCTTTTGGGGTGATTCAAATCATGTTGACACGATACGAAACATGCTCAATTTTGTTTTAGATTTGCCCGAAATACATTCTGTCCCTAGAAGATTTGATATGAACTTTTCTAACCCAAAAGACCCTTCTCAAACGGTTAGGATCACAAGCATTTTCAATGGGCATTGGAATGAAACACAAAACTATTTAGGATTGGATGCTCTGAGAGATGAAGGATTTCAAAGTTTGTTGAATAAATACTTCTCAGAAGACACAATCCCGGACACTGTGATCATGAACTCTGGATTGCATGATGGTGTTCACTGGCGTAATATAAGAGCATTTTCTGCTGGTGCAGACTATGCAGCATCATTCTGGTCAGGTATTATGATGAGAGTGAAGCAAAGAGGTTTAGCATGGCCACGAGTCTTTTATCGGACCACAGTTGCAACTGGTGGATATGCAAGATCACTAGCATTTAATCCTAACAAAATGGAGGTTTTCAATGGAGTGTTCATAGAGAAGTTGAAGAAATCTGGCATTATAACTGGTGTGATTGATAACTTTGATATGACTTTTCCATGGCATTTTGATAACCGGTGTAACGATGGAGTTCATTATGGAAGGGCTCCTGCAAAGATGAAGTGGCGAGATGGCCAAATTGGTCATCAATATTTTGTGGATCTCATGTTAGTTCATGTTCTGCTAAATGCACAATGTGCAAGATAGCTTGGGAGATTCAGTTTAAAAGAGGAGAAAATCAGAATTCAAAACTTTATCACAAAGTGGATATGGACTTGAATAAAGTCTCTTCAGGTAGCCTCCACCATTTTGGGTTGTGTATTATTTGTTCACCACGAGTTAGATTAAGCATTCTTTTTTGTTCATAGATTTTTAAGCATTGAGTGTTGTGTATTCATGAGCTCCATTAATAGATTAGCAGAGGATTTATATCCTTCAAAACACATTTTCCTATGGACGATCAATATGAAGTTTATAGCGAATATATGCTTCATTTGCAAATTTCTTCTTTGAGTAGCTGTGGGATAACAAAATAATAGCTAAGCAATTGTTTTATGACTTTGACGCCATATACAAAGGCTTGTGGTTAGTTACCTACGATAGCTTTTGCACCTTTTCTAGTTGACATGAAATTATGTTGGCGGAGTTTCCATAACTCCTAGTTTGCTTATAAAACAACCAACATAAAATGATAACGAAAGGTAAAACTTCAAATCCAAACCTCCTTAGTTTATTCCACAATCTGTTAAGAATTCTGTCTATGGCTTCATTAGATTCTTGGGGTACACGTCCAGCAATTGGAGGATTGGACAGCTCTTTACAAGAAATAACAATTGGCATTTGCCACCAATCAACAAGTGACGATTAAACAAAAAAAAATAAAAACAATACTCAAACTATTTATTCTGTAAAATAAAAAAAAATACCCGTTTTCCGCACAAATTCTCACCAATTTGTGTGAGAAATTTTTTATATGAGTCCTACGAAAAATATATATTTTTACTTAGATAAAACAAATTATCCAAGCATATGAAATGTTTCTTTTCCTGCATTTTTCTATTCCTACGTAATCCTTTCTTTTCAAACAATATTTTATATAAGCAAACAAATAAATTTTATTTAATTTTTTATTCTGTAAATTGTCTTTCATGATATTTTAAATATTTAAGTAAACTTCATTTAAGTAAAAGATATTTTAAAGATGATTTTATTAAATGGAGTAAAATTAATTAATATTTATTTATATTTTGAAGTATCACCCGAGTTCAAATTTACTAGGAGTACAATTTTAAGCTTGTCAAAGCGTGAACTTTAGGCTGGCTCTAGCTTCCCATAATTTTTAACTTGGTTGTTTTTTTAGTTTTTGGTCTGCCATAAACTTTTCCTTTGTTTTTTTGTTAGCTTCCATAATTACTTACAGTAAGGTTTACCCATGTCCCTGGGCCGAAAACTATACCTATATTATTTTGTCTTAAAACTTAGATAATCACAAAAAAGGGGCAAAACTTAGAAAAATCCATATTTAAACATAGATAAAAAGATTTAATTTTAATTAAAAATAGCACTAAAAATAATTAAATAATTATATTTAAATTATATTTTTTAAATGTGTCTTTAACAATATATGATAAAAACATTAATAAATGATATCTTTTATTAAAAATACAGTCAATCATATCAATGTATTGAACCAATTGAACTTTGATAAGCAATTTTTTTAATGTAAGTCTAACAATACATAATAAAAAAATTATGCATAATTTTTTTTTTTGTTAAAAATCATATAATATTATAATATTTAATACATTTGGATATATTAAATATTGTATTTTTTGATATAAAAAAATCACTTATTAATTTTGTATTGTATCATTGAGCATACATTAAAAAAGTACTTAATTATATTTTAGTCTCGTAAAAATAGTATTTTCATACTAAATTCTTAAAAAAAAGACTATCATTAATATTTTTCTTATTTAAATATTAAATTTCAAAAAAGTCTCTAAACTTAATTATATTCACCGCTTATTTATTTTTTCTTTTTTTCACCACAAGAGAATCATCTTTTTCTACCTCCCATCATTATTTGCACATGAATCTAATAAAACTTACCTTTCCTCAACTGTTGTGCCTTCAAGAGTGCTTCATGTATGCTACGGTTGGACAAAAAATCTAATTATACAAATTTAATACATAACTAATATTAAATTAATTTTAAAAAAATTATATTCATGTCAAACTAATTTTTTTATTAAATATATTTACATAACTAGTTTAGTATTCTAAATTCACTTTTTAAAATCAGATTTTTCTTTATTCATTCACATTTATATTATGTATACAGTACTATTTTATGCTCCGATTTATTAAATTTATATGTTATATTAGTTCACAAATTTTTTTATAATTATATTTTATAATTAATATTTTTTATTAATCTTAATTCTTATAATTAAGATTAAATATTTAAAATATTTTTTTAAATATAATTATTATATTAAAGATATAAAAATAAAAAATATTTTTTAATTAATTACTATTATTATATTTATATTTTAATTTATTTTTTAAAAATTTAAAATTTATTACATAATAATTTTATTATCTTTTTATATTATTAATTTTTTATATATAAATTTTAATTTAAACTTTTATTAACTATATTTATTGAAAATAATGATAAATATTTTATGAAAGCATCTATAAAGTATAATATACTTAATAAATATTATTAAAATATTTTAAGAATACACTGATCTAATGTAATGGTGTAGTATAACAAATTAATTTTATATTAAAAATTAAATGTAAAATTAAATTTATAACTAATTTATTATAAAACTAGACTTAAAACTAATTTATCATAAAGCATTGAATTTGAATTTGAAACAGGTTTTATAAAAAAAAAAAATAGATTTAAAACTAATGTTAAACTAAATTTAAATTTTAAAATTTTTTAAATTAATTTTTTTAAAAATAGATTAATTTAAAATTCAATTCGTATAATTTGTTTGTGTGATAGATAAATGATAAAAAATATATTATATGTAAATATTTATTAGTTTAATACAATATAAATATAAGAAAAAAATATATTATTAACTGATTAAAATATATCTAAATATATTTTTATATTAATTATTATAAGATTTAAATAACTTTTAATATAATAATTAAATAATAGTATAAAAATATTTATAATATATTTTATTGGATTTAAAATTAATTTAAAATTAAATCTAAATTTTAAAATTAATTTCAAAATAATTTTAAAGAAAATTAAAATAGATTAATTTAAAGTCCGATTTATATAATTAAATTTTTAAAGAATCGATTAATTTTTTGTAAATTAGATTGATTTTCCTAGCAATTTTTGTTAATTAAAGTGATTACTTGATCAATTTTAGGTTCAATTAGTCTATCCGATTTCAATAACTATTTTAAATCCGTAAACCTACCCATTCTAATTTCTAAATATGTGGGTTGTGCGATGCCATGCTCTATCAAGTGACACCACCCGCATAGTAGAAGCAACGCATGGGTCAAATTACGAAACTAGCCAACACAATATTTCTCGTATTCTCCAATATTCTCTCTCTCTCTCCAATCCAAAAATAAAAAATAAAAAAATAAAAAGAAAGAAATTGTTGCGAACGAAAAACACTTGAGATTGAGAGAGAAAGATACAAGAATAGGCAAAAGCAAAACGAACGATCGTGATCTGAATCTGTGTGTTAGATGGCCTAAAAATTGGGTACATTTTGGTTGCTTACATTGAAGGAAAGAAAGAAGGAAAAAGCTTCAAATCTGGCAAATCTCGTGGGATTGAGGGCTCGATCTTCGTTGAAGCAACCTTCTCCTGATTTCAACGACGACGACGAGGAGTGTAGGCCTTGGCGTCGCAGATTAACAATGGCTTTCTCCTGGGCCTCTGCCCTCAGGATCACCCTTCTCCTTCTTCTTCTCGCCGCTGTTGTTACCGCTTGTTTCACTCTCCCTGTTGAAAAGGTTCCTCTTTTCTAACACCCTTTTCCTTTTCCATTTCAATTCCCTTCTGGGTCGTTCATCGCCTTTCCATTTCCATTTCATTCTTTGATGTTCTGTTTTTCCTCTGCAGATAATGAAGGACTTCTTACTTTGGGTTGATCGTGATCTTGGGCCGTGGGGTCCTGTTGTTCTGTATGTTTTTTTTAATCCCTCATGTTTTTGTATAGCCACCGTCTTTTTGGATTTTTACAGTTTCAGATTTGTCAGACTTGGTTTAGTTGTGAAAGGGAAATAAATGTCTTGGTCAGGAGTAGCTTATTAGGTTTGTCAAAATGTTGGCTGGCTGGTAGAGCTCTAATACTACTGTGTCATGTGCCATTTGATATGGTTAAGCTAGCTGGGTGAAGTATGACATTATTTATTTTTTTAGGAAAAAAGGGTGTTCTGCTAATGAGTGCACTTAGAACACTTTGATTAAGGGATTGATAAATAAAAATTTTCCGTTTTGATTCCTTAATGATGAATCAATGTCCTTAGGACTTTGGTGAGCTTCTCCTAAAAAGTGTTTTATCTAACTTTTATTGACGAGGTAACAACTTGATCTTCAGTTTATTTTGGAGCTATTCTTTTCTCCCAACCTGAGCCTGCGTCAAAAGCTAAGATGTTTCTTATAAAATAGGCTCTTATGCATCCTTGCATCTTAGCTAGACTTTGTTACCCTTTGGGGTTGGACTACTAGTGAAGAACTGAAACTTTGCTGTGTGCTTGAAATATTGTTATTAGTTATTACCTTATTGGTGTTGCTTGTATGATTGTTAAACACTCCCATGACCATAAGAACCCTGTGTTATGAGTATTGACGTTTTATAATATTATACCAAATTCAGAAAGACATTTATAACTTTTCTTTCTTGATAATAGGATTAGATTGGTCTTAATTATTGTGCTGTGGAAAGCATAATTATTTACATAATTTCTGAATGCATTATTTGTTGGTGATTGTCAGGGCTGTTGCTTACATTCCTTTGACTGTCTTGGCTGTTCCAGCTTCAGTACTTACTGTAAGAACCATTGCTACCCTGGCACTTCTTGCAAAACTTCTTATTTTATTTGTTGTAGAAGATAATTTTCTCAAGTACCTGTATAATACGTCTGCTGGTTGAGCAAATAGTGATCTGTTATGCTGGTTGAGCATCAATGGAAGCATGGCAGCTGGAAGAAGAGAGAAATCTGAAGGGAGAAGGGATTTAGGATTTGAAGAACAGAAGACAAATTTGGGGAGGCTATTAGGGAGAGATCATGTGTTGGTTAGAACTTAGAAGTGTGAATTAGGGTTAGGAATTAGGATATTTTGTAGTTTTTATTTTAAATAATATATTAAGCAATGAGGAAAAGGCTAAAATGAAATGACTCATGCAAATAAATACATAAATATATGAAGGATAATTTTGTAATTTCATAAGGGTGTGAATCTTGTGGGATGAGGAGTGAGGTATCTAGTATTCAGTCGTTTCCACCTGGATCCTGGAATACTGGGAAAAATTGCCATGCCTAATGTTAACTTTAAAAGTTCTAGAAAGGTTATCATTTTCTTTTAACTCTAATGGTGTGAGTATGATATGTCTGTTCTGTTAGAAAGTTTGAATGATAGGTAATTCAGGATAAAGGAAGCATATGCATCAATGATGAGAAAAAAGTAGTACTCAGAGATCACACTGTCAAGGACTTGGATTTGTCATTTCTTATTTAAGGCTTATGTGATTTTATTCATGTTTATAACTTTATGATATGTGATTTGTGTTTTATCCCCTGCATTCTCTTTCATGCTTATAGTTTTATTTTCCACCTACATTACAATACCTGGCAGAGAAGAAGAAAACTTGGAAAAGCAATGTCAAAAGTAAATTTGTTGAGTCACTTTACTTGATATTCCATTTTCAGCTTGGTGGTGGTTATCTTTTTGGGCTTCCAGTGGGCTTTGTTGCTGACTCTATTGGTGCAACTGTTGGTGCTGGAGCAGCATTTCTTCTTGGTAGAACAGTAAGTTTTTTTTTTTCTCCACATTTTACATTTATAGGTGGTTGTCAAAATAATACAAATCTTTGTCCACTGCTTGTCACGGAATAGTTGATTTTAGGTTTTTCTTGAATTGATTAGTCCATGGGGTGCTCTTCATTGGCACTTCAACTGGGCTTCACTTTGATCCATGTGTTTCCATATTATGGTCTAGTTATTTATATCTTATGATTATGAGGTTACTTAATGATATCTTTATCAATTTCTACAGATTGGGAGATCATTTGTTGTTTCTAGGTTGAAGGATTATCCACAATTTAGATCAGTTGCAATTGCAATTCGGAGATCTGGATTTAAGGTCCGTAGACTCTTAATTGTTTAATGCTATTGTGAATTTCTTGAGCCTTTTGCTTTTTACTTTCTAATATTCCTCTTGTTTTTACCTTTTTTCCTGGGATTCTTGTTTTCAAACTCAGAATTCTTGGTGAAGGGAGTGGTTCACATGAAATTGTGTGTACTATTTCTGAAATTTTGGTGTATTAAAGTAGTATTATTTTGATCTACAAATTATGTTAAAAAATTCTAATAATCATGAGTTTTTAAAAAAAATAAATTAGAAGTTGTTTAAGTGCTTCTCTTAGAAGTCAAATAGAGTAGCTTACAAAAAAATCTTTTTAAAGAAAGTTTATCATAGAATCTCTCTCTCTCTCTCTCTCTCTCTTTTTAATCTTAAACAAATGGGTCCTTAATATTACTCAAGTTTTCAATCTTAATTGTTTAGATTATTATTTAGAGGGACCATAAACGTTTCAGTCAAAAGGATTTTTCTGGGGAGTAACTGTAACATGCATTTGAAGCAAGGCGAACCAACCGTTGTCATATACAGTTTACTTAGCTTGGGGATTGGACTGCATGTTATTTAACAAGAGACTATGATCCAATTTTTATAAACTTTTAAAGAAGTCCTTATAAGAGGAAAAAATTAGTATAAAATTATGAATAAAACTTTTTTTATTAGTTAGAAACACCTTATCTTTTTAAATTTTAGAGAAGTTAAATGAAAGAACTTCTCAAAAGAAACATAAGTTGATTTTAATTTATGGAAGAAGTTTGATTCATTTTACTGTTTAATTTTTACTCTTATAACTTGTAAGTATTTATTAAGAAGTTTATCCAAACTGGACCTATGTCTTTCCTTAGTCTTTATAAGTCTATATTCATGTTTGGTTCAACTTATTTCAAAGAAATAATTGTTCATTTTTACCAATTTCTTGAGAGGGCTTTTGAAAAATAAGCTATTATTTTTCTGATTTAAGCACTACCAAACATCACTATCTATAACATCACTCTAGCAATGGCATGTTTATAACATTTTTAAGTTATTGCATGTGACTTGGTATTCCCTTTTGTTATTTTTTTTCAACTGAGTTCTTTTTTCAAAATTTCTTTCTCTGTCCTTACAGATTGTTTTACTGCTTCGGCTCGTTCCACTACTGCCATTTAATATGTTAAATTATCTCTTGTCGGTGACTCCTGTTTCAGTCGGGGAATACATGCTGGCTTCCTGGTTAGGAATGATGGTATGTTCTTTGCCATGATCAGTTATATATTCTGGAGTTAGTCTATTAGTAAATCTTTATTTTGTTGTATGATTCTCAAAATTTAGTTTTAATTAGATTTCTTCCAACAATCACTCTCTTGCTTTCTGTTTATTAAACGCTATCACTTTGGTTTTTAATAAAAAGATGCATAGGCTTAATTAATGGTTACCTTGAAACCTTTAAAGCTATAAGAATTGTTCCTTTTGATCTATACCCCCAACAAAAACAGAGCTTTTCTTTTTTATCGTTTATCGTGCCTCATGAAAAACATTCTTCATGGATGTGCATATCATGGTTGTCAATTCATGAATTGAATCAAGAATTGGAGGGTAATCATATAAGTTCTGAATTGTTAGATCATGACTTGAATGAGTGCATCTTCTATGTAATAATATGTGACCTGTTCAGGAAGAGATGTTTTGATCATTCTGAAAATTATTCATTGTGTAACCCAAAGTTTAAAATCCAAACTCTAAAATGTAAATTAAGGTTTGAGTTATATAGTCTAATAGTGACTTAAATAATGAAAACACAAATCACAACTTTAAAATCTCTAAACAGTCATTCATGATTTGAATTATTGAATTATGCAATTCTGACAACACAGTGGTGTATCAGTAAAATGATTTTTGTAACAAGTATTGAAATGTATAGGATTGTGCTTGTGGTCTATGCCAAAAGGTTGGATCTGTATAACAGTATATGAATTCTGACTATTGTCAACCTGTGATTTGTATGCTTACTGCTTATGTTTTGGGCTGATAGTACATATGATTAGCTCTTAAAAGCAAGTTTATTTGTTTTTGGTATTCTTATATGACTATCTGCATTCTGCATCAGTTTTGACTTTGAAAAGTTTGAGGAAGCATCTATCTTGGTATAATCATGTAGTTTAACTCCTCTTGGTGAGTAGATCTATGAACAACTAGAATTACCACCAGAAGATTCCTATTGCTCATCATGTCATCATTATGGATACAACTTTGTTTCTGCCAGTAAATTTAGTGTAACATCTGTTCCCCTCTTGGATTGATGGTAGAAATTATTGTTCATGCGTTCTTGTAGTTCAGTAGACAGCATTCAAATTATAGCACTATGTTAATACGTGATACTGTTGCTATTGCAGCCAATTACATTGGGACTTGTATATGTTGGAACAACTCTTAAAGATCTTTCTGATGTGACACATGGATGGGGCGAATTTTCAAAGACTCGTTGGGTAAGAGATGCTATGCTGCATTACTTATATTAATGAGCTTTTCAAATACTTGTTTGATGAATTTTATCTTTTTATTTGATGAACACCTTGGACGGTACAATCTTTCTATTTTGTTGAGTGGATTATATATGTGTGCTTTATCTAATATTATCTTCAGTAGTTCTGATATACATTTCTTTCTCTTGTGGATGCAGGCATTTATCATTTTTGGCCTCGTAATATCTGGTAAGTTACATTGTTATTATGGTCTTTCATCAATATAAAATAAAATATTTACTAATTGCATGTGCCATGTTTCAATTGTGTGCTGCATCCTGTCTCAATGTGACTTCCATATTATTCTTGTGATGCATCAGTGCACCTCGATTTGTGTTGCATTTTTCATGTGCAACGTGTAAATGTAAATCAGGACAAGACTTGGAAGACTCCTCCATATTTAGGGCAAATAGAATTATTATACAGCCTTCAAACTTCACTAAAGCAAGATATTTCAAATCTCTCTATGGTCTTTCAGAAGACATTTCCAATAACCTGTTACTTCATATAGTCTCTCTCTCTCACACATGTTTAGCTCATATTTTCTTTGAATGAGTGAACGTACTACACAAGTTAGGATTAGAATTGAATGTATTAGAGAAAAAAAGTTGAGGCAGTACCTATGTTAGAAAGCTTAGATGGTTTGGGCATGTGTGGAGAAGAATGTAGAAACCCAATTAATAGAGTTGATCGGATGGATGGTAGCTCAATAATTAGAAGTAGGAGGAGATCAGGAAATACTGTAGGTGAAACCATTAGGGGTTAATTGTTTGAATATAGACAAGAAAGGATATTATGACAATGTCTGTTCATTTAACTAATCTCACTAAGTGGGAAAAGATTTGGTTGTTGTTGCCTGTTATTTTGTTTTAATCTGTTTAATTTCAGAAGGTATAAATAACAAATGAAGTATTAAATTAGAGGATCTATATGGTTCATTGTAGATAATGATGATTGATAAATTCTTGAGCTTGGAAGAATAGTTGAATTGGTTGGACCATGCTGCAAGATTTGTATTGAATGAGAAACAAAAACATTACAAATATTTATTTGATTAGCCAGGCTAAGATCTGTTATTTTGGACTATGTGCAGTGATTCTGATGATATGTGTTACTAAAGTTGCCAAGTCTGCTTTAGATAAAGCCTTGGCCGAAAATGAAGAGTTTGATGGGATTACATCTCCACCAGAGTTACCAATTGTTGCTGAACCATCAGCAGATCTCAACCAACCTCTCATAATTAAGATAGATTCTGCTGAAGACAATCATGAAAAGTAAAATCCTTTTTGTGTAAATTCTTTCTCTACCCTACCTTCTAAAGGCTATGCTTTTTATTTAAAGTTTAAGCAGTAGCTGCCTGCTTCTATTGATTTGTGATTTGTACAGTTTCAACAATATATATATAGTCTGTGACAGGAGAGTTTAGTCCTACAATCAAGATGACATTATTGACTATGTATCTTTTTGTCAACAGCAGAAGATTTCATTTTATGAACCATTCCTGATTCTCCAATATATTGTACTTTCAGTTTTCACTTACGTTGCATTGGAATCAATGGCAACTAGGATTTTGAATTGTAGTAATTCTAACACTTTACTAAAACTTATTAGCACTGCTATTATTATATCGATTCATAAGTAGGAAAAACTAAACAGAATTGGTGATTTTAACCAAAAAATTGGCATTTATGTAAACTTCTAGACAAACTAGTTAAGAATTGGCCAAACCAGGTCCATGACCGGAGAGCTTATGAACCAAAGTTACACGTAAATACAAGTTATAAGGGTAATTCGAATATGTTAAAAATATATTAGCTTCTTTAGGGATCAAATGAGCTTGACTTTTTCTTCTCTGAGGTACCATAAAGATATTTCTGAAGGAACAGTAGTTTAAAAAATTATCAAAATAAATTTTTTAACATTTTCTTTATATACATGAACATTAATAGAATTCAACCCTTTCTTTTTTATTTTTCAATCTTGGAGTTATTTCTAAATTGGTATAATAGTTTTACTATAATAGTAAAATGTACTATGCGAAAGTGACGTGTCAATGCGTCTTCTACTAAGTGGAATACATATGGTGCTGTTCACTCACATGCTGGTCCTTAATTGCAATGTTGTCACCAAGTACCAACCATGATCTAGTCGCTCCTTAATTTTTATTAAGATTTTATTTTGTGAGTTTTAATCTATTAATAGTTATATTATATATCAAACTCATTAATGATGTACATGTCACTATAGCTTATGTAATTTTTATTAAAATCAAAATTTTAAAAAAGTAATCACAAGCTGAACATATGATTCAACACGGATTTGGATTCTTTACGGTGCTGACAAAAATTACAGCTTAAATTTGTTTAAATAAAAAAAATTTACTTGAATTAATTTGGCAAAAAGTAAATTTTACTTTAACAAAAAAATTAATTTAAGTCAACATCGCAAAAAAAAATTATTTTTTTTAAACTACAAAAAATTTGATAAATCTTTATTAAGATAATGTAATCACACTTTGTAGTCATCTTTATTACTAGTCATGCATATATAAATGAATTCATTTTTAAAGAGTTTTTTAGAAAATAAAAAAAAATAGAAAGTATGTTAATAATTTTTTTTTTCAATATTCTTAACTCAATTCCAAACTATTATACCTCACTAATTTTTTGTACAAATAATACACGTTTAACACAAATAACACACTAGATAATATATTTAAAATATTTAGTAGAATGATATATGCAATAGTCTTTTGTAACTAACCATTAATAAAAAAATATAAGTTTCTCAATTTTCTATAGTTTTAAAAAAAAAGATAAAATTATAAAATAAATTTGCAATTTTAATTTTAAGCAATTTTTTTTCTTTAAGTGAAAAACACTTTTTCTCTAAATTCACTTGAACAAATTTAAACTCCAAGTTACATTTTCCACCAAAACTAGAAAATATCCAAATCCAATTCAACACAATCGATAAATGCAATATATAAGAATCAGATCAACTAAAGGGCGTGAGACAAAAATCTTTGTGGTGTATATAAAATATTCAACAGTTGGACCACTTGGTAATTTCCTAAGAAGGGCAGGAACGGTCACGAGATTATGGGTGTCATATATAAGTAGGATATTTGCAGTTTGATGATAAAAACATAGCATAATTCAGTTTAAATAAAATTTTAATTTAATTTAATAAAAATCGATTTTATTTAAATTGAATGATTCAATTTTTATATTTTTATTTTGATTTAGTTGGAAGATAGTAAATAAGTTATTTTATTATCTCTTCTTCACTATTTTTATTTAATATTTTTTTTTATAAAACATAAAAATTTAAGTTATAAAAAAAAGAGAGAATAATACTTTAATTTTATTAGTATTTAAAACTAATAAATTTAAAATCATATTAAAATAATAAGATCTATCTAAAAAATAATAACACGTGATTTTAAGAGTAAAACCACAAAAATATAATTAAGCATTATAATTTCAGAATATATAATCATGTGTAAAATTTATTTCATGAATAAAATTGTATACATACATATGATGAAATTATTTTTCAAAAATAGATAAACACAATTCAATTCATTCTAATAAACTACTTTTAAATTTATTTATTTTTGAATTTTGGGTTATTTTATTTTTTATTTTTGGCAATTTGAAGAGATTAAATCGAATTTTGAACACTCGACTATAAGATTTGTGCTACCTTGATAGGGAATACTTGTATTACAGATTTTTGTGATGAATTGTACATGTCATGTCAGATTTTTTTGTCAATCGGTACAGGAAACACACGGGTATAAGAATAATATTTTTACACTATTTAATAATTTCATATACACACAATTATAAATGCAAAAATTATATGAAAATTAGCTAAAGAGAGATGGTAACACAATGCTGCAATCTCTGATGTGTAGAAAATATTCTTGCAATAGGACCACTACTTAATTCTAATAAACTATTGTTGTCGTTAGATGGCCATAAGAACTGTCCTATATATATATATATTATATATAAAATATCATGCAGGATGGTTGATTCGTTGTCAACTTGCCATGCATATCAGCATTGAGTACATATTACTTTCTGTACTTTTCTTCTGTTTTATGTCACACACACATATATATAAGCGCGCGTAATTGCTGTTAATAGTGTTGTCTTATTATAAAACCATCTGTTCAGTGTTCAGATTATAACACCATAAAGTATAAGACACGTGCAAGGATCAAATGTGAAGTGTGTGAGTTGTTTTTAATTTGATTCTTTCGTACTAATTCCACAATATTATTAGGCTAAGACTATTTATACGTATAGAGATCAATGATAACTTTTTTTTTGCTATACACACACACCAAATTAAAAATAAAAAGAATGTTATGTATAAAGACCGAATCAAATATAAATTAGTATTTTCATGATTAAATCTTCTTACATAAAAAAGAAAACAAACATGTCTGTGTTATTTAAATGTTCAACCTACCTCTGTTGTTCAAAAATAAAATGCTCCTGCTATTTTTGTTGGTTTATTTTATTTCATGTAACGAAAAGAAGAAAAGAACAATACATTTGTATATATTGCAATTTTAATCACTGTCTATATGTTGTGTGTTCAAAATAACACATCCTTGGCCATTCCCGTGGCAAGTGTCCCACTGAATATGAAGTGTAGTGCAAAAAATTGGAAGGGAAAGTTATTTACTTTGAAACTAGAATTAAATAAAAGGACACCCCTTAAGATAAAGGTGAGGCAACATCATATGCGGCCTCATCATGAATCTGTGAATGCCTTGTATAGGTGCCAATACCCTCTTTTTCCAACCCAAAGCATCAAAGCAAAATCCATTTTCTAGGAATTTTTTAAATTTTTGTCAGTGCTAGAAAACTTTTCCACTGTCTTCTTCTGTTGAATTTGGGGGTTTATGGGACCCTACCATTTCCTTGATGGAGGGGATAAGCAATATTCTACTATAGTGTGAGTTCTGAAGTGCACGTCTCTACATAATCTGTTTTATGATCTTTTATGATCACAGCCGGAAAACCATTACCAACTGCTCTCTCATGTGAAGGATATGATCATGATCCAGAGACAAAAACACAACAGAAGGGAAAAAAAAAATAATCCTTGTGTAGTAATGCATATTTCTCTCAGTATAATATTGATACCTGACTTTGTATGATTATTTTTCTCGATTTAATTTTTCAAATAAAAATTAACAAAAAATAATCAAATTTAAAATGTTAGTATCTATGATAATATCATGTATGGTAACACTAGTTAGAGAATAAAAAACAGAAATATTTTGTGGAAAAACGTAAAAATACACTTATTCCCATTTTTTAAAGTTAAACACCCCTCCCCCTTTTTTTTTCCTGTGTTTTTCTCTCTCCAACAAGTTGCAAAAGAGCACAACTTTATTACAAGGGTATGCTATGGTGCGAGCTATACACTTATAAATGAAGCTTCTATAGCACAAAAACATGTGTTGGTTGGAAACTTAAGATGACTAAGAAGCAGTTTGAGTCTCTCATGGGGAAAGTGCGAGGTTTAGGCCTTCTATCTCTTGGTGGTTGCTTTGATAGCTGCCGTGACCACACTCAAGCCTATGGACTAGGGACAAGGATCTGGAACCTCAGTGATCGACCAGTGGAGCTGCAGATAAGGGTGGGATCAATATGGAAGAAGGTCCACACTTTGAAGCCAGGGACTTCTAAGAGACTGAAAAGTAAACGCATATATAAGGCATATATGCCTGGCAAGAGTGGCAGTGATAGTGGGGCATTGAAGAGCCTGTTGTATTACTATGATGAAACTTGCCACCCTTATATTTGGATTCATGACAAAGGAAGTGATTCCTTGAGGATGGTTAAACAGCAGTATATTAGCCTTGAGGATTTGAGGGATGCTTCTGAGATCAAGATATTAAGGGATCAGCAAAGAGGGTGCATTTCAGTTCTTAAGAGAACTAGGCCAGATTTCTGCTGAATTTGAATGTAATTCTTGCGTATTTCAGTAGTTAAGTGTGTTATGGATATGAAATACCATTTTTACTTCTTGCTTTCCTTTGTTGGGTGTCATTAATTGCAGAAGGCAATGGTCTATGATCATGTTTTATTAGTGTACTGTTTACGTGATTTCTTGTATCCACTTCTTTAGAGATATATGTTAAAAGCCAATCACGATCCTTTAGTAGATTAAGATTTTGAAAGTGTTTTTCTGAACAAACTTAATGTTGTTTTTGTTATACAAGTGGTCAATTGGTAGTCAATATTCTTATTGACAAACGATAGACCTATGAATCATACTTCAAATATAACGAATTTAATATATTTACAATGTCTTTGCGTGGTACCAAGAAATATTTCTCCTCAGATTTTCTGAAATTATAACAATATTCTATTTATGTTCTTAATCTTTGGAGAAGCTATGCAGAGAAGGTACATATGTCTTTACGCAAAATGTTTTATAGTAGAGCTCGACGGACATGCAAGACTCAAATAACAGATTTAATTTTTTTTAAGGTTTAGTGCAGGGTCCTAAAATATGCCAAATTTGAGACATGAATTAACTTTCGACATTGATTGCTTTTTCCCGAGGTCTAAAACCCGGATAGAGAAAATAAGGAAACTGAAGAGTTATCAGCTCATGGATGAGCCAACAAAATGTAGGCCTCTCTCTCTCTCTCTCTCTCTAAAGCCCTCCAGCTACCAGCTACCAGCTACATGGATTGACCCAAATGGGTCAAGAGTCTCGCTAGACTATCAAAGGCACTGAGTTCTGCAGTGTTTAGAGTCTTCAAGAATGATGATATTCAATTGCTAAAATTGCTAAAATCAGGGGGCAAAAAAACTGAAGGCAATAGTAGACAGTCATGATTTCTCTTGAACAAGCCTATGTTTGTCAACCTAAGGCCCATCCTTCAAGGAACAAATTCATTGATTTATCCCAAATCAAGGTAAAACTCATCTTGGAGCTTATTGGCAGCAGAAAATGACCTCTCTGAAAGTTCAAGATTCAACTTAGTCCAATAAATGTCCATACTGACTCGGAACGTATAATCGGGACTGGGTTCAAAATTGTTGAATTAAATGAATATTTTGTTTAAAAATAATTTCTTGCCCAAAATTGTTGAATTAAATGAATATTTTGTTTAAAAATAATTTCTTGCCCAAAATTGTTGAATTAAATGAATATTTTGTCCAATAAATATATATTGTCAAATACTCACCAGATTGTAATTTCTTGTTCCTAAAATTTTAACCTGGTGTGATATAATCTCCAAATTTAGATACTTTATTCAAATATCAAGTTGGAGGTCAAAACTTATTTAATGGTCGATATACGATCTTAGCCTAATCTAAATTTCAAAATTAGCCTTGATCAAAATCAGAACTATGAAAAGCGAAGAAATTAGTTATAACCAACCCAAAACGAAAGCTTAAATAAGCTTCATCTGACGCGGTTCACATGGAAATCAAGCGCAAGTGGATCCACCACAATTACACTTCTCCCAAGTGTCCCCTGCATATTTTACCAGATATCTTCGGAATACCACGCCACTACCAGGATCTATATGGCAAGGCAGTGTTATATAATGCTACAGATAGGAAAGCAAATTAAATTCATTCAAATGAACCATACAAATTACAATATAGAATTGGCAAAAGTATGCACGGAGGCAGAAGTAGAAGACCCTCCCAGCATTTGACAGATTGCTTATAAGGCATGTTAGAAGAAAACTTGCTCTAAGAGATACTGGAGACTGAACCTCTCTCGTAAAACTGTTGTATTACAAATTAAACCATGGCTTAAAATTTCAAGGCTCAGTTAAATGTAGCACCAAGTTATTCTTTATACCTTTTCTTCTCAACGACTGCTTATCACGTATAATCCAATTTGGATTTACAAAGCTATAAAGGAATGGAGAAATCACTTCGGTATATTGCAAGAGCCTTCTATGGACCTGGACCCATTGCACCAGCCCTCACTCTTAACATTTCAGTCCTCTTGCTTCTCTCCATCACCTCCACCAACCATTCTGCACTTTCCCTAATCCCAATCCTGCAACATTTCGAAAGAAAGTCACCTTAGTTAATTGCTTCAATATCTAACAGTTTTTTTTACTTTGAAGATAATGCATATGACCATATACTTTAGAGGTCTCCATCTTTATCAAAATATGATATTATCATTTTAGATTAAGCTTTGGAAAGTTGATACTGCTACTTACCCATCATATGCTGACACAGCTTCAAACATGTAAACTCTTTCATCCAGCTTCTTTAAATCTAGATACCGAGCAAGTTCTTCAGCTGATACTGCTTCAGGAAGATCCTGCAATCATAAAAATGTCAGGCAAGTGACCATCAATAGGTCAATACACACCTGAGAGGACCAGGAGGAGGATGACAACAAATGAGGAAACCAAAAATTCATAATCACTGTGCTATATTACTCATGAACTTCCACTAAAATGCTAAGAGGGTAAGTTGACTTATTGGTCAAGGAAAAAAGAGGAAAATTAACACATAGCTTATAATGCATGAAATGCAATATAAATCAATTGGTAATAAGCATTTGCCTATCTTTTCTTTTTCTAAAACCAAAAGGAAACATATTTTGTATCCTTACAGTTGCCTAGTGCTCAGATAAGTAGAACTGGTACCTCAAAGCATGTGGATATTAAAGAAGACTTTGAACATGTAGAGCAAGAATAAACACTAGATTATATTAGAATTATTTGACACATTTATAAGATAACAGGGCATGCTACAAGGTTATATGGGACAGAGAGAATAGTTATACTCACCTGCTTGTTCGCTAATATCAAAAGAGGTGCTCCTTGTAGATCCTCATGCCGAAGCACCTTTTCTGGAAAACAATCAATTATTAAATCACCACTGTGATGTTTATTTCTAACATATCTGGTATTATTGCAACTGCACCTTAAACAGGTATTTTTCTATTTATGTACAAATACTAAAATCAAATCTCACTAACCAAGTGCAGACTTCACATCTTCAAAGCGTGAGGGACAAGAAGCATCTACCACAAATATTACAGCATGTGCCTCTTCATAATATTTCTCCCAGATTGACCGAAGACCAGGCTGGAAAGAGGGGAACTTACGTTAAAATCTTATTACAAAGAATGATAAAAGATGGAACAGAATAGTAGAAAAACAGTACAAAGAGCAAGTATGTGTTTGCATGAAATGATACATTCTGTTCCTCCTAACAAACAGACTTACAATTAAAAATGAAGTACCGAATTAACTGTGCAAGCACATAGGTCCATAGGACCAAAATGTCAATTGCAAATCTCCTTTAGCATTGCCAAGTTTAACAAATAAACTCAAGCTTTAGATAGGGCAAGGATAAAATTAATGGTCCAAAATGCATAGTTCAAGTAAGAGTTCTAATATATGTAGTGGTTTTATGTGAAAATAGCAAAACATAAAATTTAGACAAACATTAAACCAGCTAGAACAGTAGAGATAGCTTTCCCAAAGAAATTTTTGAGAAGCAAAATAGTTTCCCATTCTTTCATTAATCACATTTAAATAATATAAAGAACCATAACAAATTACATCTCAGGAACTATGCAGATGGTTGTTGGGTTATTGTTTTAGAAATCAAATTTCCAGAATGATATATATTTAAACAAGCAGCTCATGAAGCTAGGACCGATGAACAAAATTGCTTTGCCAAACTAAACTAACAATTAGTCCCAATAACATAATTATAGAACTTACATTGATAGATATTGCCTATTTATTGCACATACCTGACCTCCTAGGTCCCAGAACACAAGTTTTCTACTCGCCACTTCAATGCGACCAATATTCAATCCCACAGTTGGAACAATTCGATCGGGAGAAAGGCCTTCTAAGTTTGAGTACACTGACTTCATCTTCTCCAGCAAAGTCTAAAAAAATTATATGGAAATTCAGAGCAACACAACAAAATTCAAAACATGGCATTTGAAAAATGTATTACCGTTTTGCCAGCCTTATCAATGCCCAAAATGAGTACATGAAGCTCCATCTTGCTGAAGAGGTACTTCCATAGTCCATAAAACAAAGAAAACATCCTTGTATTGTTTAAGGCTTTAAGCTAGCTTAACCTTCAAGGATAGAACAATATAAAGTTCATGCCATGTTACTGGGTAGCTCGTGCGCTCATCATCAATTCACAATTTCATTAACATGCAGAATTCCTGTGCAAGCAAAGGTTGTAAGATGCCTTGAACAAGCAAGACTCTAATCAGAAAAGCCCCATTTCTAATTTAAGAAGTTATATGAGAAAATTCCAATATTTAATTTGGCAATGCACAATCCCGATTGAACAACATAACATAACTGCAAACAAGTTTTTTTTTTTTTTCTTAATTTTCAATCAAATAATTCCTCGATTGCCTGACACATTGCTGTATCTAATTTGACACGTATCAATGACGCTCCACTAGATCTCAGCGTCACTTCGTTCATATCCCTAACTACACCTACATGCATGATTAAGATACTGATATATGAGACTCGAATTCCGATAAACACGAGAGGGATGTATACTGAAATTTGAGTAAGAAAGGGGGAACATCGCAACCTATCGGAACCACTGCACGGTGGTAATTCGAGAGAATCAATTCAGTTATAACAGATCCGGAAACTGAGAAATGAAGAAGAAACAGAAGAAGAGAAGAGGGTGGTTGAATACTTTACCGGCGCCGACGACTGCCACGAATGGCGACAGACTTTGGTTGAAGAAAGATCCGATTATGGTGGAATCGGATCGAGTGGGCGATTCTGTTTCTCGAAGCTGTGTTTCTCGCAGGACAACTAAAGAAATAAGGATAAAAGAATGTTAGACTAATTGGTTCAGTTGATTTCTCCGAAATAATAACTCATTTCTTTCGTCTCCCATGATAGTTAAATAGTTGATATTGATTTAACAGGCTTTTGTTTTATTTAAATATTACATTTTTTAAAACAAATTATTAATTTTTCTTTTTAAATTAATTCCTTGTCTAAAGTTAACGTGGCTACATGACAAATATTTTGCCAATAATACTAGTGAAATTAATTATTTTTATTATTTTAAAATAAATTTTGTCACTAAAAATATGAAAAAGTAAAAATCGTGCCGTATGTAAAGGAGATAAACGTTTCGCTACAAGATCGTGCCATTGCAAGTTGCTGAAATTTCACCGCATAAAGTGTAAAAGTCACATATTAACAAAAATTAAAATTTCAAAATGAAATGCTAAGGGTATGTTTGATATTTGATTTCTGTTTTTAAAATAGTATTTTTTTTTTAAAAATAATTCTAATATAAATTTATATAAAAATAATTTTTAAAAATAGAAAACTATTTTAAAAACAAAAATCAAATATGTATTATTTTGTAACTTTCATGGCAAAAACACCTTTGATCACTGATGTGGCAAAATTTTATTGTTTGACGACATATATTAGAAGAAACAGTATGTTTTTGTACTTTTTTCTCTCTTCCTTCTTCTTTATTTAGTAATAAAATTTCATTGTTTGACGACATATATTAAAAGAAACAGTATCTTCTTATATATTTTTTTTTAATTCTACCTCCTTTTTCTTCTCTCGACATGGAAACTCCCTTCTTTATTTTTTTTTTAAATTTTGTGAAGTATGCAAAGCTAATTTAGGATTATTTTTATCAATTTTGTAGTTTTTAATTGAAATATTAATCATTTTATATTTATTCTTAGATATTATTTTGTTATTTGTTTATTTTTTTTATTTTTTTTAAATAATAAAAATGTAATTTTGTAATTTTTTTTTACTAATAAAAAATTATGTAACTTTTTTGGTGACTAATAAGTGGTAGGACGTGTCCTACAACAAAGGTCAATAACACAAATTTATTTTTAAATTTTTTGATATTTTAATTTAGATTGTGTTTGAATTTATAAAATTATTAATTTTTTAAATATAAATTATATTATAATATAGTTTACAAAGATGTAATTGTGTGTGATGCAATAAAAGTTGTTACACAAATTAGAGATAAATAAAAAAATTTAATTATTTTTTTATGATGTGCTTATTATGACAATGAATATTAGATAATTTATTTTTTTAAAATTAAAGAATAGTAAAATTATAGTTGGCTACCAAAATTGTATAAAATAATAATGAATTATATTTATTTTAATTGTATTAATTTCTATTTACAAAAAAAAAATACTATTTACTATGTACCATATGTAAATTTTATATTTTGTAAATATTTAATTGTATGTACTCTAACTAGTGTGGCAATATAGCGTATGATTTGTCACAATTACTAAACACACTTACAATAACTTTTTGTTTCGTCTTCCAAGCTTTTTTATAAAAAAATTTATATTTAAACTGAGCACTTATCCTCTTGTATATTAATGTGTACTGAGGGTTTCTTAATTCACTATGTGTTTATATAAAATTTCAATTATTAGATCAAAACAAAATTAATTGTGTACGTAATATATCATAAATATTTAAAATATATTAAAGATTTCTCTTACAAAAAATGTATATACAAATTAAATTTTAATCTAACTTTTGATAATTTTGAAAAATTCTAAAATTCACACATGTATGCAAACCACCTCACCATGTAATTTTTTCCTTATTTGAATTGTTCAACAATGAAGCTTTCACTCTTTATATATAACCAAAGCTATAGTTTAAGCACTTCACATACAAACTTATTATTTTAAATTATACTCAACTACAAAATAACTTTGATAAATCTTTATCGTGTAATATTTTAATGCATTATTGACATTTTTTAACGTTAAATAACAAGTCAACAAATAAATTATCTTCTTCAACCTATGAATTAACTTCTTTAAAGTCTTCTTCAGCTATCTCTTGGTCAAGATTTTCCTAATTTATATACTAATAGTGTAGGATTACATTCTAAAGGTAATTTTCACTTTTCCATGCATTACAATAAAATTGTTGGGCTCATTACTATTACCATTATTTAATTTGAAAAAAAGTAATATTTAGCATTCATTCATAATACCTCATGATTCTTGTTATATATTTAACACTACTACAAAACCTGTAAATATAGACATATTTACAGATGATTTTTTTAATTATTACAAATGGATTTTAAAATTACAAACGGATTTACAAATGGTTCCAGTCAGTTTGTAATATTTAGGGATCGTTTATAATATTCGCATCGATAAAGAATTATAGACAAATTTTTGAATCTGTCTATAATTTAAAGATGGAAAAATCTGTCTGTAACTTACGGACGACAAAATCCGTTTGTGATATTTCAATTTTTTTTTCACTTTTTGTTTACAAACACAATTATTCCTTGTTGTTCCTAATTATCACAATTTATAAATATAATGAAAACTACAAAATTATATAGTTAAAATAAGAAATTATTTATAAAATATAAAATTAAAATGTTATTATAAATGAAGAAGTAAATATCTAAATGAATAATGTCAAATTAAAATAGCTGTGTCTATAAAAAACAATGCATGGCCATCAGTAGAGGAGGAGTTGGAGGAGGAATGATGCATAGAGTTGAAGACTGATGATGCTAAAGTTGGTAAAGGAGGAAGAATAGGATGATAATGGGTAGGGTGTTATAGTACTCACTCCCATACCCATGTTTTAAAAAAATACTTATACCCAGCCTTATACCTGCGTGCATAGTAATTTTAATGCTCATACCTTTTATTTTGCATAGAAAAAATTTTGAAAATAGAGAATTATAAATTGAAAGACAATATTACTCAAAAATTCAAAATAAAAAATTTGTCTATTCAAAAAAATAAAATAACTATGCCTATAAAAGAACTCTGAACTGATTAAAAAATATAGGACATAAAATTACGTAAAATAAATAGTAAAATCTTTATTTTGACTAAAATTTTACAAAAGCATCCACCAAAACTTTTTAAAAACTAAAAGGGTTAGAGTCTTGTTTTCTTAAATTCTTAGTTGCTCCATTGTAAGTAAAAAAATTATTCAAATAAAATTATATGAAATTAGAACAAAGATAATTGAAAATACCAATAATAATTATAATAGAGTTTTAGACTTATTTGTTGAAGACTTACCTTTGTATGAAAGTTGTCGTATTTGGTATCTAAATTCTATAAAAAAAAATGACAAGTTAGATATTTCTCTGTAAGTCACATTCATAAGACATAACTCTTGATAGAGTAAGTTTTAGAGCAACTTATATGATTACATAATTGTTAATGACCATAGAGAGAACCTAGCCAAATATATAAAGTATTAATTATTAACCATAATTCCCTCTCATCATGGACTTTTGGGTTAAGGCCTCTCTCTCTCTCTCTCTCACACACACACACACACACACATATATATATATATATATGTGTGCGAGTATGGAGCGAGGTGGGTACTTAGGTACCAATACCCGCATCTATCCCCATTAAAATTTGCAAGTTTTTACCCATATTTATACCTGTACACGTTTAGTAGGTCAATACTCTACCAGTTGAGGGTAAATTTTGTGAGTACCCATCAAATACTTTATCCATTATCATATTTAAGGAGGAAAAGGTGTGGAGTTGCTTACTCTCATGAGATCAAAGTAAGCATGCATCTACATATGTTGCTACTACACTTCTCTTTGCATCCTCGATGTCGTCTTCTTCTCCATTTTCTTCACCCACTTTTTCTTCCATGCACTTTTCTTAGTCTTCCACATATCCTCATTCTACTTCTACAGTTCTTCATTGAGGGTATAGACCTAAGTGCGAACCATGTCCTCCATTTCTCAGGGGCAAGTGAAAGGACATTTTCAATGATAGATGTACGGGATATAGAGTCTGCAAAGCAACCTCCATGCCATAAATGCAACATTTATAAAGGCCACTCACCGTCTCTAGCCACATAGTATCCCCATCAATTGACTCTGAATCTTGAGAAGATGCCTCCTCAAGCCTTTGAACATAGTCATCCTACAGTTCAGTGCAGATAATTATATATTAGTCTCGATAACTATTTAATAAATCATTAATAATAACATATAGTGTCAATAAAGATGATGTACATATGTGGCCTGAGATCGTATATCGACCCACAAAGTTTTGTCTTCCTTGCAAGTATGTGTCTCCTTGGACATCTCTCCATGCATAGGTGGTCTCTTCAACGAGTTCTCTTACAAATTTCCATACTTGCACTTAAAACATAGACACCTAACTTTCTAGTCAATGATGAATTACTGTGAATTACAACAAACACGTATGAATTTCTCAACACCTTCAAAGAATTCAGGTTTTATACCTTCTAGCCTGGGTGCAACCTATCATACATCTACTAACGATCTACTACTTATTACATATATCATTATCATTATCAAGAATTGAGAGATCTATTTCTCATTACATATATCAAGTGACGTCGCAATATGAAAACTTGATTTTTTGTGCACCTGATAGACAATAATTTAAGAAAATACATGTCATGCTCTTATTACTAACAATTGCTCACGAGATCCTATTTCAATTGCATATTCAAAAATCATAGTATAGGAAAATATCACTTGAATAATATGGTTATACTCAATATTGATATAACCATATAAATGGACTTATATCTCTTCACTTACTCATGAATCAATTACTAATAATATAAGATATAATAAGTAATATATCATGGCAATTTAATTTTCTCATAGATAAGACACACTTAGTGTGTAACCACCAACCCAATGAGTTCATACCCATTATTTGCATGCACTAAAAGAACCAAATTTCCTGCCTATACAATTCCATCCATAATAAAATTCAAAAGGATAAATGATAACATAAACCTAGTCCTAATATATAAATCCTACAATTGTCAAGAGTAAATGAAAATTATCTAGAAGGCATAAAAACACAATATGCAACTA